GATTTACAGATTTTTTCAGATTTCTTAGATTTTGGAATTCCCAGATTTTCCAGATTTCTTAGAATTTTTCATTTTCAGATCTGTCAGAATCTTGTAACCTTCCGGAAATTTCATATTTTCAGACATTTAGAATTCTTAAGGGGTTTGAAGAGGATCTGAAAGTTTCGAATTTTCGGATTCTATAGGTTCTATTAGAGGTTTTACGGTAATTATAAAATTAAAAATTAAAATATTCCAGGAAAAATTCCGACCAAAATCCGGAAGCACCGAAACGAAACTCAGTGATCCGGTTTTGCGAGAAATCTGAACATCCAGCACCCAAAGACATTGCTCAGACCAATTTCTCAGCAACACAGTACCTGGAAACGCTGGCCTCGTTTTGTGAAGAAATTTCTGGGACCATAAAAAATGATTGAATCTTTTTTTGTATATTTTTTTTTTGATGATCAATAAACTGTAGGATTGATCCCAAAAACTAGGTCATGACCTAGAAATCCCAAAAAACTAGGTCATGACCTAGAAATCCCAAAAAACTAGGCCATGACCTAGAAATCCCAAAAACTAGGTCATGACCTAGAAATCCCAAAAAACTAGGTCATGACCTGGAAATTCCAAAAAACTAGGTCATGACCTGGAAAATCCAAAAAACTAGGTCATGACCTAGAAATCCCAAAAAACTAGGTCATGACCTGGAAAATCCAAAAAAACTAGGCCATGACCTAGAAATTCGCCATTCCCATTTTCAGGGATCCCTGGGTTCCTAACGTACATTCTTCTGTAAAAGATCTTCTTCAATAGATATGCCCCCCCCCCCAACGTTTCAGCGAAATTGGAATGGAGCAGTGATGAAGCAGCGTCGTTGAAAATTTCTGAAAATACAACGGTCAAAGCTTACAATCATTACTAATTGTAAATAAATAATTAAAGAGTGAAAAGTAGCGCTCATCGCCTTCAACCATGAACGGAAAGGCCAGCTGATCGTATTTCTGATACAGCTAGCACTGACTGTTCAAAGGGAGGTTCAGAAGCATTTGATAAAAAACTTACCAATGGGAAACTCACCGAAAAAGGAAGGAGAATATTAGCAATAATAATAGTAGAAAAAGGAATAAATAGCAGGAATAGTGTAGAATTTCGATTATTGGAAACTCATTCGAGGGAATGGAGAGAAGAGAATCCTTTTTGTGATGGGAAAATGACATATCTGCTTGATTTTTCCGCAAATTCCACTCACGAATCGCATCCTCAATATCGGTAATGTCCGTTCCCTTTCTCGAATACTTTTTGTTGTGACGCGAGCCTTTGGCAGCGCCTGTACGTTTCCCAGGTGCCATCTGAATGGAAATTAGGCTCCAATTTCAAAGAAAAAGGAAGAAAAATCACAAAAAAATAGATAGAAAATCGGCTGGAAACTGAGAAAAATCTCGAAAAAAAGCGATAAAATAACGATTTTATAAGGAAGAAAGCTAGAAAAAACGGGGGAAAAAATTTACGACGAACAGAAAATAAGGGAAAAATCAAAAATCGCAAAAAAAAATTATCTCCTGGCCATTCGGAAAAATCTGACGACGTTGACTTTGAGTGCCGGCCAAATGAGCTGCAGGTTTCGGCGATACCATTCTCTGAAAGCAATTTTTTAAGAAGAAAAAGCCTAAAAATTGAATTTTCCAAGATTTTTCAGTTGAAAAATGCATGGAAATCGAATTTTTAAGCTAATTTTTAGTTCAAATTCAATCAAAAACGAAGCTAATCAGAAACGAAGAAATCAGCTAAAAATCATTCCTTTTTGCCAGAAAATGCACTAAAATGACCCAAAAAACACTTCTCATCGAGGAATTACGAAACGCGCCAAAGGCACACCAGCCACATGAAAATTTCTCATTTTTCGAGCGGTTTTAGATCGATTTTCGTCGAAATTTAAGATTTGGCTTTTAAAAAGTGTGAAGAATGGCTTTAAAAAGACCAAAAAATGGCCAAAAAATGAGCAACTTTCGAGTGGCTGGTGTGCCTTTGGCGCGATTTGAAATTCCTCGATTTGAAGCGTTTTTGGGCGGGTTTCGAGAAATTTAGGATCATTTTTGGCGAAAAAGAAGCGCATATGTCTGTGATTTTAAGCTTCTTTCTTAAATTTAGGTTACTTTTTCGCTTCAAAATGACCCAAAAAGCTCTTCTAATCGAGGAATTTCGAAACGCGCCAAAGGCACGCCAGCCGCTTGGAAGTCGCTATTTTTCGAGGGTTTTTGATCGATTTTTGTCGAAATCTTCAGATTTTCGAGTCGTCTTTCCGATTTTGCACTTGAAAATGGTGAAAAATGGATTTTAAAATTTTTTTCAAATATTTGGGTTTTTTCCCGAAAAACCTTCTGGGGATTTTTTCGCGATTTTCATGAATTTTCTGGCTATTTTAATCACGAATTCAAATTCCCGCCTAATTATCCACCCACTTATTATAAACCATCATCGCCACATGCCGATCGTTGAGAAAATCGCGATAAAACTCGCTGAGCTCGTTCGCCGACACGTGTTCCAGCCGTCCCAACTCCTTCTGCTTCTTCTCGACGAATTCCGACTTTTGGCGATCGAACAGTTGATTGTGCTCGGCCCAAAAATCCGAATTCCACTGGTTCAGCTCTTCCCGGGCGGCGCGGTACTGCCGCTCGAGTTCCGACTCATTGTCAACGCGGCGGAGCCTTTAAAAAATTAAATTTCTAGTAAAAATTCCCAAAAAATTGATGAAATTTGAGCGAAAATGAAGAAAAATGGGCGAAAAATCTTTTTTTTTCGAAAGAAAAATTCGACAAAAAAGTGAGCCGCAGTGTTGCAAGTCGGCAGACTCCGCCCACTTTTCCGTGCCGCACCCGGAGAATTTGCAAAAAATATGCGAATTTCGTCAAATAAAACCGTTTTTCAGCGAATTTTCAGATTTTTTCTCGCTCACATAATTTTGCGAATTTTCGAGACACTATCCGGCGGTCCAACCCAGTCGAAACGTCGATCCATTCGCACATTAGACGATGAGGAGGAAAGAGAAGACATATCTGAAGAGAAATTTGGCACAAATTTGGGAAAAACTGGACAAAAATAGGGTTTTTTTCTGGTGAAAAACCAAGATATTAAGCTTAAAAATCGAGAAAATTCGAAAATTTCAGGAAAAATACTTTTTTAACAGATAAATCAACAAATTAAGTAAATTAACAAAAAAACCAAAATAAAAGAAAATCAATAATTTAAATCACAATCCTTCCGAATTTTCCAACGATTTCCGAATCAATTTGAACATTCGATCATATTCCGACATATTGTGACTGCAAAAAAAATTTTTTTAATGCAAAAATTGAGAAAATCCTAAAAATCGACTCAAAAACCACCGAAAACGGGTGAAATGAGCTGAAAATCACACAAATTGGGGGTTTTTTTTGCCTAAAAATGCTCTAAAATAGCTCAAAAACGCCTCAAATCGAGCAATTTCAAAACACGCTAAAGGCACGCCAGCCGCTTGGGAATTGCTAGCTTTTCGGGCGTTTTTTGGTGAATTTTTAGAGTTTGATCTTGAAAATTGTGAAAAATGCCTTTGAAAAGACCAAAAAAACGCCCGAAAAATGAGTTTTCAAGGCAGGGACGCCTTTGGCGCGTTTTGAAATTCCTCGAATTGAAGCGTTTTTGGATTAATTCCGAGCATTTTTTTTTGTGATTTTCAGCTCTTGTCTTAATTTTAAGCGCGATTTTTTGAAAATTTCCAAAAAAAAAAAACTAACATGACCAACAAAATCGACGCCAGAAGTTCCTTGGTATTCAGAAGGTGTTGAAGATAGCCCTTCGTGTATTTCGTGCACGTATAACAGCCGCATCCATCGAAAACCGGCGTAAAATCGTCGGCAAACTTTTCTTGATCTTTGAAATCCACGACTTCATATTTTGAAGACGTCGGATAGTCGTCTGCCAGGCAGAAGGCGTGACCCTCTTCGGCCAGTTTGATGGCGAATGACGAGTCGAACAGGTCGATGCCTTGTTGGACCAGAAAGAGTACGGTTTTTGGGTTGAATGGACCGGAAATGCAGCGGAGTTTTGTGGGAGGCAGAGGAGACTGAAATTTTGGGAATTTGGAAGCTCCTAGAAGACGAAATATAGCGTTTAGTCTTGCTTAGCAAAAAAAGCTGCAAATCGAGGAGGTTCAAAACGCGCCAAAGACACGCCAGCCTCTTGGAAATCGCTCAATTTTTTTTCGAAATTTTTAGATTTTTCAGCCATCTTTTTATTGCCTTTAAAATTTTGAAGGCATTTTCCCTAATTATATGACAAATTCCGAAAAATGCCTGAAAAATTTCGAAAAAATCGGATTTCCAAGACTGGCGTGCCTTTGGCGCGTTTTGAAATTCCTCGATTTGAAATGTTTTTGGCCAGAGAAAAGGTTAGAGAACTCGCATTACGTCTATCGGTGGATTTAATTGGCTAATTAAACTTAAAAATTTAAATAAAATCACCCGAAATCATGAAAAATCCCATTTGAAATGCTCTAAAATGACCCAAAAACGCTTCAAATCGAGAAATTTCGCGCCAAAGACACGCCAGCCTCTTGCAAATCGCTCATTTTTCAGCCTTTTTTGTTTCATTTTCACACAATTTTCAGGGTTAAAATCGAAAAAATGGTTGAAAAATCTGCAATTTTTTGCAAAAATTGACCAAAAAATAGCAATTTACAGAAGGCTGGCGTGCCTTCGGCGTGTTTTTGGGTGATTTTTCAGAAAATTAAATTTTTGAACATTTAGAATTTTTGACAAGTTTGAATCTCTGAATTCCTGAATTTCGGAAATTTCTGATTTTCTGAATTTTTTAAATTTCTGAAAAATTTAGAAATTTGGCCAAGTTTGAATATTTAGGTTTTTTTTTCCAAATTTCAGATTTTTTTAAAGATTTTCTGCATTTCCGAATTTCCGCATTTCTGAATATCTGGAAAATCTGAAATTCCGGGAATTCCAGACAATTCTGAAATTCTGAAAAATTGAAATCTCCAGAATCCTAATGATTCAAAAAATCTGGAAATTTCAGAAAAAGCAAAAATTAATGGATTTTGAAAATTTTATACTTCAAAAAAAAACCTAAATTTTCAGAAAATCTGGAAAACCTGAAAATTCGGAAAATCCTGAAAACCAAAAATATTCTGAAAATGTTAAAAATTGAAAATGTTGAGATTATAAAATTTCAAAAAGTTGAAAATCTGAAAATCTTTAAAAAAATGTTTAAAGCTCATTTTCGCCCTAAAAACGCACAAACGTCTCCTCCAACAACTCCTTCATCTCCATCTCGTCTGTCTCCATTCCCTCGACGAATTCATGAAATTCTACAGTATACGCCGCCGTATTTTCAGCCAAACCAATGTCAACGGCACATTTTCGTCGGTGGTACTTGCTGAAACCACCGCCCAGCGCGACGATCCGTTCACCGTCGATTTTCTCGTCCTGGAAAATTGGAATTTTGTGAAAAATCCATGATATTGGTACTGCTTAGCAGTAGTAAAATTGGGTTTTGCTACTGCCGGGCAGTACCAAAATCGCCTTTTTTTGCAATTTTCAGTTATTTTTTCTGCATTTTTCACCGGTTTTTGACTACATACTACATTTTTTCCCCAATTTTTAACATTTTCAGCTACAAAAATGTGAAAATAGGACCATTTTATGCATAAATAGGTCAAAATTAGGCTATTTTGGTACTGCTAAGCAGTGTCAAAATGCGATTTTGCACCTGCCGGGCAGTACCAAAATCGCTTTTTTTTTTGCAATTTCCAGTTATTTTTTCTGCATTTTTCACTGGTTTTTCACTACAAACTACTTTTTTCCCCCAATTTTGACATTTTAAGCTTTAAAAATGTAAAAATCAGACCATTTTTAAACTAAATAGGTCAAAATTGAGCTATTTTGGTACCGGGCAGGTGCAAAATCGCCACGTGGCAAGCTTGCAGTGTCAAATTTCAATTTTTAGGTCATTTTTAACAGCTTTTTTCGCAATTTTTCACCGAATTTCACCTAAAAACTCCATTTTGCCCCAATTTTCGACATTTTCAGTTGAAAAATGTTTTGTTTGCTGAAAAATCCACCGAATTTCAGTAGTTTTGAGCTAAATTAGTCATTTGAAAAACGCGCCAAAAGCACGCCAGCCAAATCCTTTTTGTATAATTTTTTTTCTTTTGAAAAAAAAATGAAAAATCGGAATTTTAGCCAATTACAGAGCATTTTTTCGGATTTTGGTACTGCTAAGCAGTAGCAAAATTCGATTTTACTACTGCTGGGCAGGTGCAAAATCCCCTTTTTTTTCTAATTTTTGGTTTTTTCTGCGTTTTTCACCGGTTTTCACTACAAACTACATTTTTCCCCCAATTTTGACATTTTAAGCTCTAAAAATGTGGAAAATATGACCATTTTATGCAAAAATAGGTCAAAATTAGGCTATTTTGCTATTGCCAAGCAGTGTCAAAATGCGATTTTGCACCTGCCGGGCAGTACCAAAATCGCCCCTTTTTGTAATTTCCAGTATTTTTCTGCATTTTTCACCGGTTTTTGACTACAAACTACATTTTTCCCAGGTGCAAAATTCAAAATGCAGTGTCAATTTTCCATTTTCAGGTTGATTTTAACAGATCCGCATTTTCTCACCGAATTTCACCTAAAAACTCCATTTTAGCCCGAAATTTTGACATTTTCAGTTGCAAAGTTTTTTTGCTGAATCCAAAAAAAATCCATCAAATTTCAGTCGTTTTGAGCTAAATTAATCATTTGAAAAACGCGGCAAAAGCACGCCAGACAAATCCTGTTTGTATAAATTTTTTTTCTTTTGAAAAATGAAAAATCTCGAAATTTTAGCCCATTTAAGAGCTTTTTTTTTGGATTTTGGTACTGCTGGGCAGGTGCAAAATCGCCCTTTTTTGTAATTTTCAGTTATTTTTTCTGCATTTTTCACTGGTTTTTCACTACAAACTACATTTTTCCTAGTTTCTGAGATTTTAAGCTACAAAAATGTGAAAAATGGGACCATTTTTCAACTAAATCGGTTAAAATTGATCTAATTTGTCACTAGCAATGTCAAAATGCGATTTTGCACCTGCCGGGCAGTACCAAAATAGCCATTTTCTGTAATTTTCAGTTATTTTTTCTGCATTCATCACCGATTTTTCACTACAAACTACATTTTTCCCAATTTCTGACATTTTAAGCTACAAAAATGTGGAAAATATGACTATTTTATGCATACATAGGTCAAAATTAGGCTATATTGCTACTGCCTCGCAGTAGTAAAAACAGATTTTACTACTGCTGGGCAGGTGCAAAATCGCCCTTTTTTTGTAATTTTTAGTTATTTTTTCAGCATTTTTCCCCGGTTTTTCACTACAAACTACATTTTTTCCCCAATTGTTGACATTTTCAGTTACGAAAATGTGAAAAATAGGACAATTTTACGCATACATAGGTCAAAATTAGGCTATATTGCTACTGCCTCGCAGTAGTAAAAACAGATTTTACTACTGCCAGGCAGGTGCAAAATCGCCACGTGGCAAGCTTGCAGTGTCAAAATTCATCATTTAAGGTCGATTTCAACCGATTTTTTCGTAATTTCAGCCAAATTTCAACTAGAAAAAAAACCATTCCCGCAAAAATTGGCTAACAACCCCCCACCTGCTTGAAAATCTGCTCATTAAACGTCGTGGTCCGATCGACCGCCTTCAGCAGCTTCTTGTGCCCCGCATCCCGGGGCAAATCATAGTCAACCAGCGTCTCAAACGACCCGCAGCCAAACGAATTGACCGTATTCCGATACGTTTTAACGTCCAGCGACACTTTTCCATTGGCTGTCCATATGGCAATGGATTTTGAGTCGTTATAACCACTCGGAAGTTTTCCCAACGGATCAAAAGGGCTCAAATGGATTGCCGGAGACTCTAGAGCACCCATTCCAACGAATTTAGCGACGCCTTTTCCGAATTTTTCAATAATTTTGGCATTGGAAATCAGCGAAGGCAGTGTCATTTGATAAATTGGGGTTTGCGAGAGTTTCAGCTGATTTTCAGCCACGTCCCATGTCAAATGGGGAATGTGTCCGGCTCTTAGGTACGTCATACATGATGGTGTGGCGTGGTTGACGTCTACTGGCCCCCAGCTATCGATTTTGCCCAGACGTCCGAGGATGGTCTTTTTTTCGATGGAGAATTTTACCATTCTGGAGATTTTTAAAATTTAAAACAAACAAAAAAAAATTAAAATACCAAAATTTAAGTCAAAAATCATTTAACGATTTTTGAGCCACAAATCGGTTTTTGGAGCATTTTTAGAGCCAAAAATCTGAATTTTCAGAATTTTATAGCTAAAATTCTGTGTATTTTTTACAATTTTTAGAGCAAAAAATCAGTGTTTTGAAGCATTTTTTGAGTCCAAATCGGCGATTTCTAGCATTTTCAGAGCCGAAAAAGCGTATTTTCAGATGTTTCTTAAAACAAAAATTCGGTATTTTTCGCTTTTTACGGCCAAAAATGTATTTTTATAGCATTTTTAGAGACAAAAATTAGTATTTTTGACAAAATTTTCCCAAATTTTTCAGCGAATTTGGGGGAATTTTCTCGATTCTTAGTCATTTTTGGTCACTTTTTCTGGAAAATTCGCCGATTTCTTACCAAACCGCAGTGTTTTTCTTAATTTTTGAGCCAAAAATCAGTTTTTGGAGCATTTTTAAAGCCAAAATCGATCATTTGTCGAGATTTTGACTCTGGAAATGCTGAAAAAACTGTTTTTAAGGCCCCCAAAAAAATTTCTGGCTCGAAAATCATTAAAATCTCTAGAAATCATTAATTTTGGCTCTAAAAGTGGTCAAAAACTAACTCAAGAAAATTTACAAAACAAAATTTAGCAACAAAAAAAAATGAAATAGGCAAAAAATAACCTAAAACGAGTTTTCGAACTCAAAACAAGAATTTTAAGCCGAAATAATTTATAAAAAATCGGGAAAATGAGCATTTACAGATCATCATGGATTACTGTTCAGATTGTGCATTAAGCTTATAATTACAGTATTCTGGCTTCAGACACCAAAGGGACTTGTGTGGTGGAGCCGTGTTGTAGACGGCGATCTCCTGAAGGACCTCTTTGACGTAGCTGACGGGTTGTTGAAGAATGTTCTGGAGGTCTTGGAGTCTGGAAATTTGGAAGAATTAGAGAAAACATTTAGAAATTAAAAAATTAAAAATTTAGGTATTAAAAAAATTTGAAATTCTGAAAGTTGGGTTTCTGAACAGAATTTTTGAATTTTTAGAATTTCAGAAATTCAAGTTTAACGAACTGTAGACACTCAAAAATTTAAAAAATTCAGCATTTTCAGAATTTCGAGCTGCTAGATTTTCAGATTTTTTGAAAATTTCAGATTTTCGAAATATTCCCTATTTTGAAAATTTTGGAATTTCGCAAATTCTAGAAATTAAAAAATTCAGAATTTGAGAGATTCAGAATTTCAGAAAACCAAAAATTCAGAAGTTTTGGAATTTTGGGAATATTCCGTATATAATATTTTCTAAATCTCAAATTCTTGAATTTTCTAATTTTCTGAAATTCCAGGCTTTTTAAAAATCTCGGAATTTCAGAATTTTCAAAAATTCAGAAATTCAAATTTTCCAAACTTCTGGATATATCATTTCAAATCTCGTTTTCAGATTTTTGGATTTTTTTAGAAATTTCACAATTTTCAGAGTTTCGACTTTCTCGATATTCAGATTTTGGGGTTTCAAAATTTTCAAATATCAGAATTTCCGAATTTTCAGATTTCGGATTTTAAGTATTTTCTGAATAATTAGGTTTTTTGAAAATCGGAATTTCAGCACATTTTAGAGATTTTTTTTCAGATTTCACACCTGCTGGGCAGTACCAAAATCGACCTTTCTGACTGAATTTCCCCCATTTTTACCAATTTCAAATAAATTTCCAGCAATTTCAGCACCAACCTATAATAGCTGTGCTTCTCGAACGCCTTGAACAGCGCTCCTCTGAGCACATCTCGATCGGCTCTGTACGTTTTCGCACCATCCTTCTTCTGCTTGTTCTTAATCATATCCTCAGCATGCACAGCCACTGGTTTGAACTTCACCGCCGCCTTATCAATCATTTTAACAGTCTTCTTTGGCTGTGTATTCTTCACAATATGCGCCAACTTCATCTTCATATATTTCGACGTCGCCGGCGGCCGACACTCGGCTCGTTTCATGATTCTTCCCTCGATAGCCAATTTGCCGGTCTTTACAGTTGCTTCGGCTCCCAAAGCCTGCTTATCCTCACTCAAAACACTCATTGTGGATCCTTTGACGTCGTGAAGGATGAATGTGTACTGTGTGGGTATTTCAGAGACTCTAGAAGACGTGACCGCGGTGTTGGTGGTGGTAGATGACGTTCCCTCTCCCTCGTCTTTTGGTGGTGGTTGACGCAGACCTTGGCTTGTTTGGAATTCGATCTGAAAACAGGGGGTTTTTGGTACTGGAATTTCTGGGGCAGTAGCAAAATGCTGAAAAATCCAATTTTACACCTGCCAAGCAGTAGTAAAACCGATTTTGGTACTGCCTAGCAGTAGTAAAATCTAAATTTACTACTGCGCAGCAGTACCAAAATCGCCCTTTTTTGTAATTTTCAGTTATTTTTTCAGCATTTTTTCACCGGTTTTCACTACAAACTACATTTTTCCCCAATTTTTGACATTCTCAACTACAAAAATGTGAAAATAGGACTATTTTATGCATAAATAGGTCAAAATTAGGCTAGTTTACTACTGCCAAGCAGTGTCAAAATGTGATTTTGCACCTGCCGGGCAGTACCAAAATCGCAGTTTTCAGGCAATTTTCGTCGTTTTTCAGCATTTTCCCCGGTTTTTGACTACAAACTACTTTTTCCCCCAATTTTGACATTTTAAGCTTTAAAAATGTAAAAATCAGACCATTTTTCAACTAAATAGGTCAAAATTGAGCTATTTTGGTACTGCTAGGCAGTACCAAAGTGAATTTTGCACTTGCTTAGCAGTAGTAAAATCTTCCACGTGGCTTTTTACTACTGCCTGGCAGGTGCAAAAATTCGATTTTGGTCATTTTTTAGCCAAATTTCCAGATGTCTGGAATAGTTTCCCACCAAAATTTATGATTTTTCTTTTATTTCCAACACTCTAAAACTCATCAATAACAGTTTTATGCTCACTTTTTTCTGGTTTAACACTGCCGGGCAGTAGTAGCAAAATCCAAGTTTACGGTTATAAAAATCCCAAATCTGGGAAATTTTCATCATTTTTTGACCATTTCTCATTTGAAAAAAAAGCTAAAATTGGCTTAAATACCAGCCAGAAAAGATTCAAAGTTAAAAATCTTATAATTTTTGAATTTTCATATTTTTTCTATTCCATTGCTCATTTTTGCTAGAAAAAGCTTTTTTGGCTGGAAAATTGCTGAAAATGGGCATTTTCTGCTGAAAATAAATTTTTGTTCATTTTTCCCACTGCAAAATTCGGGTTTTCCCGCTCCTACCTCCGGTCCAATGTGCAATTTCCCAACCACTGCTCCCTCATTTGCCTCCCAGAGCTCCGAGAGGTATCTGGGAACTTTGACGAGCCAACATCCGCGTTTCGCCAGCTCACACTCCACCTCGTTATCATATCGCTGCTTTTTAGGCGGCGCTGGGGTTGATGTCGATGACATTCTGCAAATTTTGGTTCGAAAATTCTGAAAATTACAAAAAAAGCAAAAAAAGAGAGTATAATGAAGATAAATATGGCGAAAACTGCTTAGCAGTACCAAAGTCTGAAAATATCCGATTTTACTACTGCTTCGCAGTAGCAAAATGGGATTTTGCACCTGCCGGGCAGTAGTAAAACCGATTTTGGTACTGCCTAGCAGATTTTGGTACTGCCTAACGATTTTGGTACTGCCTAGCACTGCCTAGCAGTACCAAAATCTGAAAATATCCGATTTTACTACTGCTGGGCAGGTGCAAAATCTTCCTGGAATGAATGTCGATGACATTCTGAAATTTTTGAGCTTAAAAGTTCTGAAAAAAAGACCTTTTTTTAAAGGAAATTGATGATAAAAATAGGGGAAAATGACCCACAAAATATGAAAAAAAAAGCTTTAAAAATATAGAAAATTTATATAAAATTGCAATAATTTCAAACTCTAGAATTGATAAAATCCAACAGCTTCTTATCACTAACACCCTCCCATCCTGGCGGCGTCGGTAGCTTAAAATCCGCCATCGCCGCTGATATCTGAGCCAGCTTTTCGTCGTCCAAAGGTATTGTTTTCAGCTTTTCCGCCGGAATTTCCAGCTTTTTTGGGGGTTCCAACCCTTGGGGAGCGATCACAAAGTTACACCAAAGGCCTGAGCTTATGGTATTGGTGTCTAGTGGCTCTTCCGGGTCTTCTGAATGCGTCACAACGAAGACGTCGCCTTCGACATCGCCCAGCGCTTGATAATCGGCGTATTCATTTTTGGCGTCCTCGTCTTCTTCGTTGTCCGTGTGACGGCGAGATTCGACTTCGAAGCGAGCAGTGGTTCTGGAAAAATATCAAAATTCAGTTTTGCTACTGCTGAGCAGGGGCAAAATTTTTAAAAAACGAAGTTTTGCATCTGCCGGGTAGTTCCAAAATGGGATTTTGCACCTGCCGGGCAGTAGTAAAACCGATTTTGGTACTGCTTGGCAGTACTAAAAGTCGAAAATATCCGATTTTGCACCTGCCGGGCAGTACTAAAATTGGAGAAATTCTGTTCTAACTTTTTAAATTTTTGTCCAAATTTGATAAAAATTATACAGTTAGATTCCTCGTTCCATTGTGTATTGATATAAAATTTACTGCGAATTCACGAAACATTTTTTCGAAAATGTACATTTTTTGCGACTTTACAACAAATGTTATATAATACTGTGCATTTTGTAACAAGAAATCTAAATGTGCAATTTTTATCGAATTCGGACAAAAACTAAAATAGTTAGAACGAGACTTCTCCAATTTTGGTACTGCCCAGATGTGTCAAAATTGGTTTTGCTACTGCCGAGCAGTACCAAAATCTGAAAATATCCGATTTTACTACTGCTTATCAGTAGTAAAATGAATTTTGCTACTGCCAAAAACCATTTTGACCCAATTTTCTCAATTTTTCAAGCATTTCCCACTCACACAAACTCTCCCGGCGTGAAATTCTGGTCGATTCCAGTGTCCTGCAGCCGTACAGTAACCGGTTTCAACCCCCTCGTCACATAGAACTCCTCATCCAGCCCATACATAATCTGTCCCTTATCACTATCATCGTCACTTCCGAATCTCGACGCATCCCCTGCCACGTCATCGTCGGTTTCCGTTGTTGGATCCGAATCGAATCCGCTGCTCTCCTCGTCGTCTTCATCTGCCACGTCTTCTGGGTCTTCAGATTCGCTACTGGTTTCTCCAGCAGCGCCGGCCACGCCCACTCCATTATACTGTACACCGAATCCCACGTACCAGCCGTTAGCGTCGGGGACTCCGGATTCTGAATTAAAAACTGAATTTTCAGATTTTTTTCAGCATTTTCTGGCCCAAAATCTCGGTAAATGATGGATTTTGGCTCTAATGGGGTTATTCATGTAGCGAAAATATGTATTGAAATGCATTTCCGCGCCCTCGAAATTCAATGCATGAGCGTCGCGAAATGTATTTCAAAGCATTTCGCGACATAACTGTAAATGCATTTCAATACATCGCGTGGCGAGATATTTTTTCTGAAAAAGGTAGATTCCACCACA